AGCTTGCTCTTAAGTGATTAATTATCTTGACATCACTAAGCCCTATGCTTTATCTAACAATGAATCTAGACAGAGGGTCTGATGTGGAGCTTTATATGTAATGAGTTATTTAATTAATGAAGATAGATGTGAAAGCAGGGGCAGCACACTACTACCGAAGGTAAGATTAGTGACCACGGCCTTGTGAGCTAAAGGCCACCAAGATGCATAGCTGTCAGAGAACACATGCTTTTCTTTGTAGAAACATCATCAAACCATTTCAGAATCTCATCCAATAAAACAAGTTGTCAAATTAGGAGCAAGAAATATAGGAAGAGCAACGAGAAGGAATGAGGCAAATAAAAAAAAAAGTGAAAAAGGCTGGGGTCTGTAAGCATTCAAGATTGATGTGTGTATGCGTCTATGTGTGCATTCCAAATACAAAACCATTATCAGATATTAATTATAGCATATGGTATTAATTACAAAGGTTTCGTTCCTCAAGGGAAGAGCTAAATAGTGCATCATTTCATTCATTTGTAAAAGTAGGAAAGGACATAGTTTAGAGATTTTAAATTCAAAATTGGTTCATATTTTAAAAGCATCTTTGTGAGTTAAAGTCCTGGATGTGTAAAATTCATATATGAATAATTTTGACAAACATAGATAAGAAATGTGACTTCTTTATGTTTACTAATTTTAAAATTTAAGTATACAGTTTTCACAGGAATTAAAATGAATATTAGATAAGATTGGCTAAATGAGCCTTATAGATTTATTAGAGAACAGGCTATCATGTTGGAATATAAAATATTTCCAGATTCATTTGGAACTAAATATTTTAATATGTTGCAATTACTTTCTTAAAATTCTGGTTTAAAATTTATCATTTACCTTTATTTTGCCTTTTCCTTGTTCATCATTAAACTGTGAAATTCTGCAGATCACGGACAATCGCCTCATGTCATGCAGACCGCTAGAGGGTTCTAGTTTCCTCTTTTCCAAGCCCTCTGAGACCAGACTTGCCCAACATCTGGTGCTAGTGCGCCATCTAGTGGCTTTGGAATCACTGCTATCTGAGTGTAATTTGCTTATTTGTGCTGCCTTTGAGAAAATGCGGTGGCATGCATTTTTAGAAAATATTAAGAATTCTAAACAGCAACGCCAAATTCATGAAAATATTTTCTTCTAAAATTCACACTTAAGTCATTTAATAATGGCTTTAATTCTTAAAATGAAATGAGAGAAATTCACAGTACATAGTAGTTGCGTATAGCCCAGATTTAAATGACCATTCATTTACATATACTGCATATTTATTTAAATGCATTGTACACTGCTTCATGGAGATAAATCACACACAATTTAGACCAGTGAATAGGAACAATTACCTATTGACAATCACGTGTGTGTGTGATTACTGAGAGTATATCACATATATATTTGTTTGTTTTTTCCCCCCTACTTTTTTAACAGGTCTTAAATAATTTACCACTTGTAGGAGTCAGCTAAGACATTTAAAATATTTGATCAAATCTTTATGCCATTACTTAAACTGCACATTTACAAAAGAATCCTTAATTATTTTTCTTTTATAAAGGTATTCTTCAGCACTTTTTTAAACTCTAACTTCCTTGCTAATATCTAGAAAATGTTCCTCTTTCACATTCTTACAAATGTTTCATTTGCTGTCTGAGTCCTAAATAGAGGACTTGATCATGCACTCATAAAGCAAAAGATCAATGTTAAAGGTAAAATTAATGTGACTTGCTCAAAGAAAGCTTCTCATTGCTACTTGCTTATCCCCCGTAGCATGAGTAGTTCTCATAAGTCATCTGTTATAATCCATAATCCCAAACTTCACATTATTGCCAGTCACACACAGATAACTTGCTCAATATGCCTGAAGCAAAGGTAAGGCTAAGAAGATATTTATTGAAAGCAAAGCAAGCCAACTGAATCCCAACAGAACCTGTGTTGATTTCATTTTGAACACGAAGTTATGAAATCTTACAAATAATTGTAAATCAGGAATCAGTATGGGCTCACTTTGAACCAGTGGCAGCAAATAAACCAAATTTCATTCTTTCTTTTGGAAAAGTACTTTGATTGATAGTTTAGAAAACTACACCTTGCACAATGTCACTCTGCTAAGTGGATGAATGAATTTGGCATATGGTTTATAGCAGGAATTTCACATAGACTTTTTAATGTAGCTAAGGGATCAAGAAATATGGATTAGATGTCGGACGATTAGGTGGATTTTAATTACTGTGATGAATTAAGACCCAGAGGGACAGAAGTTTCTAGGATCAGCTCTCCTAGTTTTTTCTTTGAACCTGTCCTACTCAATATCTGGCAAAAATAGAGAAGCTGGAGGAGAGAGATACTATACTAACAGCAAGTCGGATGGGAAGAGGGTTCAAAGTTATTTCAATTTAATAGAATAATGGGTCCAAATCAGTCAAATGGATATAAAATAACTATCTCCCAGACTGGAAGGTGTATGCGCAACCTTCCCAGTAATGATGCTGGCCTGTGTCTCCTACAGGAGATCATCCAGACTGTGGTTACACACCCAGGGAGAGGAACCCACGAAGGCGTATATCGCTGTATTGAGCTTTGCTTTATTGTGATTCACAGGTGTTCACACCTTTGTGTGTGTTTTTTTAAGTAACAACTGAAGGCAAGACTCTTCATCAATAAAAATATTATGACTCGCTTTACTGCGATGGTCTGGAACTGAACCTGCAATATCTCTGAGGTATGCATGCAGTCCCGAAGGAGCCATCATTTGAGGGACGGGTCCAACTAAAATTTGCATGTTTAGGTTTAAAAGAAATCAGTTATAGGTACAGGGGATGGACAAGACCTAGTTTTCAGCAGTTTTCCTTTTTTTTTTAATTTAGATGACCTAACAGAAAATCAACTGCTAAAAGACTTAACATTATCTTTGCCTCTGTTAAGAGATGTCCATTAACAAGACCTGTTCCCTCAACTTGTGGTGTGGAAAACTGAAAAAGACACAGTGGTAACCTGGAGTATATCTAGAAAGATGTGGCTGAGAGAACTGAGGGTGTCTGGAGAAATGAAGGTGTCAGTGGTTCATGCCAGTGAAAATTACCGTGTGATAATTGGAGTCAGCCCAGTCAAGGGACCGAGAGCCAAACACCACTGTAAGAAACAATTCAACATGGCAAGAGAGGGGATGGTAAGGGTACAAACTTATAACTAGGGGATAAATAAGTTCTGGAGATCTAATGCACAGCATGGTGATTATAGTAAACAAACTGTTCTCCCTACAAAAAAGAAATGATAATTACGTGACACCATAGAGTTGTTAGCTAAGCTATGGGAGTAATCATATAGCAATACATAAATGTATCAAATCAACACATTGTACACCTTCAACTTATACAATGTTATATGTCAATTATGTCTCACTTAAAAAACACAAATTATTAGTCTAGTTACTAACTCTTTACTGATTTTAAACCCAAGTATTTAATTATCTACTATACAAAGAATATGCCCTCAGAAATGTCACCCAACTTATTTCACATAAGAATAAGCTCCCTGACGCTCAAAGTGCTCGAAGAGAGATGGGAAAATGATGGCCGTGTGAACAATACTCCATCAGGAACCACACTTGTACACACAGGAGATGATGACAGCCGCAGCCACAGGTGTGAAGGTCAAATCAAAGGTGTATAAGTGTGCCGAGAGCAGCACCGCAGTGACCTGACCTCTGTGAGAGATGACACCCACAGGCCCACCCTAGTTAGGAAACAAACTAGATTCTGAACCATTTGGGCCCCAGAAGTCTCTGACTTCATTTGACTAGTAAGCCAAGCTAATGAATTCCACTTCAGCATGCAAGGTTTATATTGCTCTGAATTACAATGCGTCCATCATGTCTGCCCTGCTTCCACAGTATATGGTAAAACTTGTAATCTTGTAACGCCATGGAGTCATATCCCGTAATAGTACCAAGTTAAACCTTTTCCTCTCTGTCACTGTTCATCACTTGGATAAATGGAATAGAGGTGTCCGTGTGAAAATGAGGCTAATATGTATTTTAGAAAGTTCAGGGAAAGGAAGGTAATTTAAAATAGATGATGACTAACTGAAGAAAGGTCATTCTTTTATTATTTAAGCAGAAATGGTCCCATAAAAGTACTATGACTTGATCATACGATAATTTTGTTCACTATCTAGTGACAGAGTAAAACATGTTACTCATTTTCATCTCTCTATACTTCATTCTTTGCCCCAATGATAAAGAAACTGATTCAAAAATAGAACCTAAGAAACAGAAGAAAACTTCTCCTGGGGAAGCTCAGGAACAATGGAGAGGGAGGAAACTGAACCTCAGTGGGAAAAGGGGAAGGTATTGGAGGCAGGGAAGGAAGAGGGAAGAGGGAATTTGCAAAATGTGTTGATTATTTTGTAAGTATTAAAAGTATAATGCATTAAATGAGCAAAAAAGTCAATTTCTGATCTTATAATGCTTTTGTGACCTCAGGCAGGCCTCCTCCTCATCCATCACTTCATCATCACACACACACACACACACACACACACACACACACACACACACACGACCCCTGCTTTCACGTGAGGAGTCGCGGGGCAGTCTCTGGAAAGGAGCCTTGCAAGTGTCTCTTATAAGAATGTGCCTCAAAAATGGCAAAGGATGACGTGAATGACTTTACTACCTCAGCTGGGAAATGGTTAATATAGTGTGGTTATGTATTTTCATTTACTTTTTGTTAACCCTCACCTGAGGATACCTTTTCCATTACTTTGCAGAGACATAGAAGAAATACTTCACTGGTTGCTAAAGTTCACTAAGACTTAAGCCTTTGTCAGCTGAGGGAGGGAAAGCATTCTGTTCAGAAAGGAACTGAACTGAGGAAATCGTGCAATGACACCATCGGGCACCCCGTGGCTCCGGAGGTGAGCGGCTGGCCCTTTTGGACTCTCCCTGACCCTCGGCGAGAAGCCCTGCGGAGCTGTACCTGTGTGTGTCCGCCGGTGAGCCTTCAGGTGAGAACTTTTTGTGTACACTTTGTTGCATCCCTCAAAATCACATCTGTGAATCCGCCGTTTTCTGGAGTCTGGGGACTCAGACCGTCTCTGGCGTCTTGTGCTCTCAATACTAAATGGTGAAATGGAACTGGAAAGAGAAAAAATGGAGTTAAACAGTGAGAAACACAGCAGTCTGTCTTGGTCCTCGTAGTAGGAGACCTTCCTCTCACAGCCTAAGCTTCACACAGACGCAAGGCCCCGGTCCACATTTCCCAGACGCGTTTCATTTCTCAGTCTCAAAGGCAGGCAGTTCAATCTATTTCTGGTGAAACTCTCCTAAGGAGTGAAAGACATGCTTAAACCAACAACAAGACAAAAACAAAACCTAAATGAAAGCAATGGCAGGTGACCTGATCCTCATTTTCGAATAAGAAAAAGCTGGTGGTGTTGCAATTATACCTTAAAATTGTGAACTTCTGAACACGCTTATAGAGAATATTCTAGGAAGTCCTGCTATAGACAAGTGGCAAAAATGAAGGCATTTAATAAGTAACACAAGGGTCTGAACTGCACGTGACAACAGAGAAAATCGTGTAAAATCACAATGTACATTTCAGAACAGGTGAGGTCGGGCTGAAAGAAGTGCATCCGTACATCAATTACATGACTCATGACAAGCTATTTCTGTTCGGTAAAACGCACCTGACATTTAACTTTTACAGTTGGTGGCTTTTCACGGTGAGGAATAAAGTTCATTGTATTTAAAGATTAGCTGTACCACCATTAAGGAAAAAAAAAGTTTAACTATGAAATTTGGCCCCAACTTGCACGTTGTTTAATCTTAATACCATGGTAGAAAAACAGGATTAGCTTGTAACGGCAGGTAATTGATTAACATGCACTTCTTCAAACCTTAATCTCTTTTGATTGTGATAGAAATGAAGAACATGACTCATTTTTCGTTACTCATGAAGTTTAAAAAAATTATAGTGAAATAGAATTAAATACGTCTACTGTACTATACCATACTTATGCTATAACAAATTTACCACTGTTGATATTTTGACATATTTCCTTCCAGTTTTCCCATGTGTTGATGCTTTAAAAATGTATTTTGTATTAATAAATCACCTTTAAAATAAAACCCTGTACATTATAGCTTGAGATAAATCTCCTTTGTCTTCTATAATCAACCTGATCCCTTCTTCTCCTCTATCATCAGTTTTCTTTAAATCCTTCCAGTTCTTTTAAATTATGCTTACATACCCATATTTGCATTCATCAAAACTCATAATATTGCTTTGTGCTTCTTAAGAAATAAAATAATACACTGTTCACATCATTCTGAAAATGGTTTTTCATGCAACATTAAGCATTTGAGATCTGTCCATGTTGATACGAACACAGCAGTTTATTTATTGAAGTACTATATATCATGATTAATTCCAAGATGATTTTTTCAATATTTTAATGTTGCCATAATTAGGATTCTTAAAATTAGTAGCTTGTCATAGTTTAACTGGCATACTGTTTTTTCTTTAGCAATGGTACATAAACCAATTGTGCATTTTTCAATAGATGACATTTTAACTTAGGTCAGGGGTTGGTAAACTTTTTTTGTAAAGAGATAGATAGTAAATATTTGATTTGCATTTTGAGAGCCAAAGAGTCTATGTTGTAACAAATCCACTCTGTAATTATAGCATAAAAGTAGCTATGGACAAAATATAAACAAATGAGTAAGCTATGTTCCAGTAAAACTTTATTTATAAAACAAAGAGTGGGCTGTATTAGTCCATGGGCTTTAATTGGTTTATACCTTAGATGAAATACAATAATAGTCCAATGCATATTCATTCCAGATATTTATTTAATTCAAGAGTCCCTGCTCTTAACCACTAGGACTGCTATGTTGTAACATCTTTTTAAAAAAATCTTTATTGTTGAAAGTATTACATATGTCCCTCTTCTTTCTCATTGACCCCCTCCATCCCGCATCTGCCATCCCCCAAGGCCTTCACCACACTACTATCTGTGTCCATGGGTTATGTATCTATGCATTTGTTCTTTGGTTAATCTCTCCCCACAACCCACCCACCCCCACCTCCCTTCTGAGATTCATCAGTCTGTTCCATGCTTTTACGTCTATTTTGTCCATCAGTTTATTTTTGTTCATTAGATTCTACATATGAATGAAATCATGAGGTACTTGTCTTTCCCTGACTGACTTATTTCCCTTAGCAAAATACTCTCCAGGTCCCTCGTGCTGTTAGGTTATTTCTAACATTTTACTATAACATTGCTCCAATCAACTTTTTAAATTTATTTTTTTAAATATTTTTATTGATTTTTAGAGAGGAATGGAAAGGGAGAAAGAGAGGGACATCGATGTGAGAGCAACATCCATTGGCTGTCTCCTGCACACCCTTTCTGGGATCAGAACCTGCAACCTGGGCATGTACCCTGACCAGGAATTGATCTGGCAACCCTATATTACACCGGATGATGCCCAACCAACTGAACCACACTGACTAGGGCCAATCAACTGTTTTTTAAATGTCTCCTTCTATACATGTGCCTTTCAAGTTTTCAATATATCTTTTTACTTGTAAAAACATTCAGTAGCAAAAGCTTTATATTATTAGGTAAGTTAAAATAGCAACGATGTTTATCTACTGTTTCTTAAACAGTTTTATGAAAGATCTCTATTAGAATGAAAAAAAAAAAGAGTTATCTAAGCCACTTTTTCCAGCCTTCTTATCAGTCAATGTGGATTTGTGGTTTTCTACATAACTATCTCAGTTGCAACGATTGGAGCCTATTGTGAAAAGAGTCAAAACGGTGTGGCTGGCATGCTCATAAAAGAACAGCTTTAGTCAGTCCCGACAAGGGTGTGGTTCTTGTGAACAAATAAGATTGTATGTGTGAAAATAGGGCAACATTTCCTGAACATCTAGTCAGGACAATAAATATGGATCTTGGTACTGGGGACCTCAAAAACAGAAACTTTTGTGTTTTGATATGTTTGCCATCTTCTAAATGGAGAAAATAATATGTATTTGTTTCCTTCAAATTATAACTTAAAGTCTATAATAAGAGCCTTTTTTGAGGGGGACAGAGATAGAGAAATATCGACGTGAGAGAGGCACATTGATTGGTAGCCTACTGCATGCACCCTGGCAGGGGTTGGGGACCAAGCCTACAGCCACGGTACCTGCCCTTGATCAGAATTGAACTCGTGATCCTTCCAAGAGCCGATGCTCTAACCACTGAGGAAACCGGTTAGGGCCATCCAGGAGTTTTAAAATCCACTTCCAAAGTGATGGCCACAAGATTCTTTCTTTTGCTTCTCCCTCCTCAGGCTGCCCGCAGGCACCTGGGACCTGGGCTGGCTTCCTTCTGGCCTGGCTTTGTCAGGAAGGACGTCCAGAAGACGTCTGGACTAATTAGCATATTACCCTTTTATTATTATAGATGTGAAGAAGTTTAAATCTTACTATGCATAATTACACGCATATTGTTTTGTCTGTAGTTGATTTTCTATTTCTCTTGCTCTGTATTGGTGCATAGTAGGAAAAGTGAGCAATACTAGTAAGTCTGAAGTCAAAACCAAGTAACTACTTAGCAGGTCTGTAAAGGACCAATGAAGCAATGTTGCTATACAGTCCATCGACCACTGAACTATATGCTGGGCAGAGGAAGGAGAGCAAAGGCTACAGAATGTCATGATATTACATCACTAAGAGTTCTTAATTTACATGATAACAAAGACCTGTTAGGTGGATATCTTTAATGCTACAAAACTTTATACCTTTGTTTTCCTCATTTTAAAGAGAATATTTTTGGGGACATTATAAAGAACATTTTATCTGTGCAATAAAAATGAAAATAATTTTTTAAAAAGGTATATGCAATTAATAACTGTACCCAACAAAGCCGGACTTAAAAGGACACGTGATGGTAAGAATACTCCTTGGTTCCCCTTTTTAAGTGGCAGAGTTATCCTCATATGTCAAAGAAACTTCGGCTGGGCTGTACCTTTCAGAACTACTTATTTGATCTCTTTGTGGAAAAGTGGGAAGGTAAGTGGGGCTGAGGGAAAGGGGACCAGAAGTGCAGAACTTAAAGGACACATGGAAGAGGAGAGGACAGTCCAAGTCCACAGGGAACTGCTGTTGTCCTGGCGCCCACAGCATGTTCTGCAGTTGGCTGGGACTGTTAGAAGACAACCATGTGTAGGAGGGTTAGCCAGTCAATTCCATGGCAAGAAATGTGACAGTCAAGATGCTGGTACCAAGTCCATTTATAACTCTAGAGCAGTGGTTCCCCACCTTTTCTTGGCCATGCCCCACCAACACATCTTTAAAATCCTGATGATCCCCGGTGACACAGAATTCTTATTAATCAAAAAGTGAAGTCCTATTCACATGGAGGAAGTCTAAAAGGCCATTAACTTGGTGTAAACAAGCTTCCAAACAACATGGTATCCATGAAAGAAAAATAAAAGAACACAAGGACAGCTGAAGTACTGAGGAAGAAAGCACTAAGAAATTGTTTAAAAAAATAATAATATGAAGTGATATAAAAATAGCAAATAAAATTTCAAAACATATAATAGAGAACAGAAATGCATAATGTCACAATATATATTTATATATTGTATATGAGGCCACTAGAACCATAAGAAATGCAAAAAAATTCACTATTAATAACTCATTCTCAAATTGTTCCCCTTAAAAATCACATTGCTCCCCAAGTTGGGAGTCACTGCTCTAGAGCCTATTGTGGACATTCAAGGAATTCTTGTTAAATAGGAAGAATGAAAGAATGAATTAGTGTATTAAGTTAGGCATTCCTAATTTTAAATTTAATATAATCAATTAACCCCTGTGATTAATTTATTTTCACTAGGATCCTTTGATTGCAAAACTTCAGATAATGGTTCCTCAATTCCTTCTCTAACTCTTTCTCTCATTTACCTAAGTTTCATATTTTAAGTGCTATTCCAAAGTGGCTACTAAATAGAAGGAAATGCAGGTAACCATTAAGATTACATGTACCAGGAGAAGAGAGAGAGAGCAAGGGAGTGAGAACCTATTTGAAGAAATAATGACTGAAAACCTCCTTACCCTGGTGAAGGAAAAAGAC